CTTATAGAACCTTGAAACATCGAAAAATGCAAAAAAAAAAAAAAAAGAAAATCGGAGGTGATTTCTGTATGTATGGATGTTAGTGTGACACGATTTTGTTCACCTCTTTGAAGCTTAACTCCTGAAGTTTTTGTTGAAAATTTCTGAAATTTTGCAGGGAAATTTATTAGGGGATTGATGCTATTAAATTTTGGTGGTTAAAGGTCGAGGGATGAGGGAGATAAAAGAGGGTCGTATGCCATATCTCGAATAGGGTCAGACTTAATGACGATTTTATTCGTCATTAGCATTTACAATTTTCTATAAAACCCATCCCTATCATCAAAATTAAGCTCTTTGCCATTTTATAATAGTTAAAAATACTGTATTTTATTTTTATTTTAAAAAACTTTTTATAACAGATGGAGACACAAATCTTGCCGGGAAAATAAACTCGTTGCTGGACTTTTTATCAAAATGTTTGCATCTCCGTATAGCCTAAGGGTGCGACTATGCAGACACGAATTTAGAGCGAGCGAGAGGTTGCGAGCGATTTAGTTTTCGCAAAAGAAAACCATGCACAAACGAGAAGCGAAAAGTAACGCTAGCGAGAGCGAATTTCTGGTTCTCGCACATATCTGATAGGTTTTGATATTTATCGCGTCTCGCCTCTTCTCGCCACATATTCTCGCTCGCTCGCGTCTGCGTAGTCGCACCCTAATTCTAACTACTAAAATCTAGAACTATATCATCAAAAATAATTTTATATATTAATTAAAACATTAACATTTAGAACTAACTCTAAATGTTTATTTCAGTAATTTAGGGCATGAAATGCACGGTGAATTCACAAAAATTAGAGCAACAGCAAAAATCTATTATTCCGAGTGGCAGAACATCTGAAATGGATTCGCTTTCAAAGAAAATTCACAAAATTCATCTATTGATACTAAAAACTAGGATATCGCCCGACTTTGTCGTATCGCGTAAGAATTGAAGCGGAGCCGGAAGGAAAGATATCCTTGCACCTGTTAGGCACAGAAGAGGCTATCTTTGTACCTGAACTTTGCACTAGCCAGGTACGGAGAGACGATCGTTCGTTTATCATGCCTGTTTTCCGTTAGGCGCACGTAATACTGTTTTTATTTTTGATCCCTAGCCCTAAATTCAGTTAGGTGCGCTCGTCACATCAGAGAGCAAGGACATTGTCACTAATACCTTTGTATATCGAAAACTAGGTCATGGACTCCTATTTTTACTTTTCTGGCTCTATTATAGATAATAGGGTTTCTCAAACGGGATTCCGGGATCCCGGTTGATTTTTTAACCCGGTAAATATCCCGGGAAATTTTTCTTATCCCGGGAAATCCCGCAAATTTCTTAAAAATTCACTTTTTTTCTTATTTTGTGTTAAGGTTGAGGAATTTTGCAAATAGAAAGCATAATTAACTCATTCACTGTCAGAATACATTTGTATTTATTAATTTTAAACCTACCTATTAGTTTTTTTTAAATTTTTGCTCGTTATA